AATTTTTTCGAGGGGCCCAAATGAAGGGTAAAGATTTTTCACAAATGGAACAAAAACTCTCGCATTGAATTAAAATAATTATATATTGATCATAACTTATTACTTACAATTAATACTCCTAGGAACTAAGCTAGCCAAACAATTCAAACCAACATCCTGTCCCATAGAAGTCCTTAGAATTTTTGCTTACACACGTTCGGGGCCTCTGTAGCCCGGGGGCCTCGTATCATTGATACGGCGCTAGCTACGCCCCTGCTGGTATATTATCTGGTCCACTAGCTTTATTCACGTCTAGACACCGCAAGGTTTTAAGAACCTCCTTATTTGTGATACGAACCTCCGACATAGAGGACCCGCTGTGAGGTAATTTAGGTGGAATGTTGTTGCCACTGTCCAGATGCGAATTGAAGGCAAATAGAGACGCGAACATGTCCGCTTTCTCTTTAGCCGTATGCGCCAGTGTGCCATCCGGTTTTACCAGCGGAGGCAGTGTAGGCCGACAGAAGTTTGTCTCGACCGCTTTGGCAAGAGACCAAAAATGTCTGGTGCTCTGACTTTGCCTTGGCTCTAACTTTTTTGAAGGACCTGGAGGCGAAGTTATACTTCTTTTTAAGAATGCTGGTGTTTACATCCCGAGTCGCCGAAGCCGCAGCCCAAGCTTGATAACACTTTTGCTTACTGCGTAATGCAGTCTTACAGGAGCGACCAAACCAAGGCTGAGATCTGCCTCCGATGGGTACCACAGATGATGGAATAAATAGTTCCATTCCCTGTAGCACCACATCAGTCAGCAACAGCGCTGGGATCATCCGGCGAGAAGCAAACCCGCCCCCAAGGGTAGGATGCAAAGAAGGACCACATTCCGTCCCAATCCGCCGACCTGTAATGCCAAACACGGCGGCAACCTGCAGAACGCAACTGCGAGGGGAGCGTGAGTAGCACCACACTCCGGATTAGACAATGGTCCGAAGAGCCGAGAGGGGCATCGACGGAAACCTGATATCCGTCCGGACGAGATGTCAGCAGAAGGACCAACAGGGAAAGTGTATGATCCTCCACATCTGGAATCCGCGTAGGCGAAGTAACTAGTTGTGTTAGACCATATGCCAAGGCAAAGTCATAAACAGATCTCCCCGCATGATCGGTTAAACGTGAACCGAGCCATTCGGCGTGGTGGGCGTTAAAATCGCCAAGGATCACGAGCTCTGCTGGATGGGACCTGTTGTAGCAAGAAATCTGAAGCCATTTGGACGTGGTCGATGAGTCGATGTGTTTCGGCATTACCGCTATGGGACTTATAGAGACACCCCTAGATGCGCGGATGGTCGTCGCTGTCTACGCGTAGCCAAAGGATGGACAGCCTGAGGCACAAAAGTGTTCTAATTTGTACCCCGGATAGGAGAGATGTATCGACCGGAGAAGACCTGCGTCTCGGTTAGAATGAGCAAGGTCGGCTTCAGATGGTACCTAGTGGACTTCGTTAACGTTTGAATGAAGTCTCCTGATGTTGCAAAAATTCACGGATAGCGTGGCAGGGGTCACCTTTGTCTTATTGCTCTACTTGTCACGAGCAGTATTAATCTTAAGCGAAATTATAACAAGAATAACACGAGGCAGCCGGAGCACCTGCGCTAAGGAAGAGTAGGGTAGCTTGGACGTGGATGCTTAGCCAGGGATTCTCCAATATTAGGAGTGCTGGTATCCTCCTGGGATGGTTTCTTATTTAATTACACTACTATGTCAAGAGCGAGAGGGGTTAGGCCTCCGACCACCTGCACTTACCAGGCGAAGTAAACTTCTACTTCACGCTGGTTATCTGTAAGGTCGTGGTACCCCCTCGGTTCGAGCTGGTCCACCCATTCATTCATTCATTTCATTTCAGACACCCGGTCATGCATTCATTACAGCTCTTCATTTCATATCTTACCAGGTCGTCACTCCATCGAGTCTAGCCCACCCGAGCGACAGCAAAAGCTGCCGTGTGGCTCTTCCACTGTTTTCTGCCTATATTATTAACTGTAATCTATTTCGTCATTGATTATGCGTTACGCATAATACTTAGGAGTAAGTAGCTTTGCTTTATTATGTCTTGCAGTGGGCGACAAGAAGCTGATGATGTAGTAGTTTTGCACCTTTAAAGTATTTAGTTTAGTTTAAATAGGGTCCCAATTTTATTTTTGCCCCGGGGCCCCTGGTTACATAGCCACGCCACTGAGGATAGGTATCTACGCTAAATGCTTGCGCTTTTCAGATTGAGCGCATTCAGCGTTAAACCATGGTGAGCTTTCCAGTCGGTAGGAGCGTCAGAAAAGAGATCATCAAGGGATCGTCATCGCATCCGCGCAACTCGACGGATTCGCTGAAGAGATTATGCAATTCCTGCCATCACCCATATTGTCGAAAAAGTGGGATCTTCAAAGTGACAGAGACGCTGGAAGGAGATATTATTGCGGACGTATATTACACAGACTCCGGCACATAGATGGAATTTATGATCCAGGGAGAATCCAGGATAGTCGAGGTACGCCGCATTCAATGGACATCCAATTTGGGTCTCCGTCAAGAAAAGTAGGTGCGGCTTCTCAGTCCCAAGATGTGAGATTGGAGTGTAATCCTCGAATATTTGTGAGGTGCACTTTTAATGAGACGTGCAACCGCTCTTTGGCCATACTTTTCTTTCTTAAACACATATTGACAGAGTTAAGAGTGAAAGTGCTTCACATCCGGTTCACACACACAACGCTACTATTGAGACCCATTCTTCATATGGCTTCACCAAGCATCATGCCGGAACACTACAACGTCATTTGGCGACAATACTGCATTGGTGGGTAGTAACCAATAAAGCCAGCGGCCGAAACCTACCACCAGAATTGGTGCTGCTCGTTTAGCACTACCCAGGAGTCAGATTTCAGAGTTCAGATAACCTGCTCATAAATGTGCCCCACGAGGTGACCTGACCCCCCCCCCCTCCTCAACTATGCATCGACCTTCCGAATAACCCTGTATATATTTTTATTAAATTAATTCCGCTATGGTAAAGGATTAAGACATAGTATATATTAAAGACAAGATATTTTTTGAATCCAATATATTAATGAAATACATATAATGCACATGTCTTTGCATATACAAGAAACATAACGTGGATATTTATATACCCAGACTCCAGAGATTCAAATTGCAGCACAAAGACCTACTTTATGGAACTTTTACATTTACATAAATAAGTATCCAAACATTTGGTTTTAAACTTATGTGTTACACCATAGTGACTACAATATTCAGTTTCTATGACATCACAGATATTTTTAATTTGAAGTACATATCTAATATAATTAATGATGATGATGACGCTTAGCCTAAGTAATGGTAACAATGATATCAATGAATAATAATACTAGAAGCACACAGCATAATATGATAATTATAATAATTTTTGTAATGATATGATTAACAGTACAAAAACTTTGCAATTTTATTTATAAGTGTTCAAATATACAGTATGCTTTCCCACAAATTTTAAGTAACATAATTTAAACTTCATAAATAATAAATATTTCAAATATAATTATTAATTATTTATATAACTCAGAACAATACTTAATTGGGTTAGTTTATTTAATACATAATAGCATGTATTGTTTAAAAGCCAAATAGTTATTGACTAGTGACATTTTACGTGCTATTTTACTGCTAGCTAATCTAAAACTATCTAATATATAATATACACCAAGCATAGAAAACTTTGGCATGTGTTTATAAACAACTCAGGGCAAGAATAAGACTTATCCATGTGTTGGAATAAGGTAAACATTTATATATATATATAGTCATCAAATGATTCTTTTGGCTGTGCATGAGGGGGTGTTGGTTCCGACACTCATGTACGGAAGTGAGAGTTCGGTATGGCACGAGAAACATGAAAGCAGAATAAATGCAGTTGAGATGAGAGCGTTAAGAAGTATGATAGGAGTTAAACTGAGTGACAGGATAAGAAATAGTGAGATATGGAAATGTTGTTATCTGAAAGAAGATGTAGTGACGAAAATTAAGAAAGGTATGCTGATATGGTTTGGCCATGTCGAGAGAATGAATGAAGAACAATTGACGAAAAAAGTGTATAAGGCGAGTGTGAATGAAAGTGCTGGAAAGGGTAGACCTAGGCGGACATTTCAAGACCAAATCAGGGACGTCTTGAATAAAGGCCAGGTCAAGAGCACCCTAAACCGTAGATCATTTATGAAGAATATTATGTATTGATAATGTGGAGGGTAAAATTGTAATATCTGTATAAGGTAGATTTGATTAAATGAGTTTGTTTTGCTACTTGATTTGGCGTGTATCTTTTAAAGAGAATAATGAAAGTGGACGAAGCGAAACAAGTATGTAAGGATCGTAGCAAATGGAAAGAAGTGGTCTCTGCCTACCCCTACGGGAAAGAGGTGTGATTATATGTATGTATGTATGTCAAATGATAACAGTTCAGGTATTATTTAATGTTCTGATATAAATAACTTTGGCAATTCAGATTCTAAACGGATAACTCTTACAATTGAAGTTAAACGCCAGCTATCAAAGGGATTAGAACTCTTTGGTGTGTAAGACTCAGGTGCTATGAAAGTACTATAATAAGAAATTAACTCATGGGAATGGTCACCATCTAAGTCAGCAATCTTTAAAGATTGCTCCTGATATTCAAGGTCCGGTTGACAGGTAGGCAATGGTAGATTTTTCATAGGTTCACGCACACAAACCTGAATTATATCAGTCTGACTTACATTCACATGATGCGTTTGTTTTTTATCAAATGACACTAACACAATCCTTTCAGATATATCATGTGCAGTGAAATTAGTGTACTTTATGAATGATGAAAGGGAAGCCACATTTATCATTGGCCGGTAATAAAACATATTCTTTGGACTTTGATTTTGTACATTATATCTTACCTCGTCAACTTTCTGTGCACCATTTGCTAAATGGGCACTATTCCACTGTCATAACTTCAGTACAAAACCACGTATAGAATTTGTGAATGCAAAAGAGCTTGGATTCATAGCAAACACATGATTCGCCGCATATTCCCAACTAACATTAGTAGTTCCATTTTGTTCTAATAACAGTGTCAAGTTTACCCTGCAAGAGTTTGGACATTCACCTGAATTTTCTACAATAAGTTTTCCTGGTCCGTTATTAAATACTTTTCTTGTATTGCCTATATTCTTTTTTAAACTTAAGTTTGGTTTTTTTGGGGCTGGCGAAGTTCTATTTGCATGGTTGGTGGATAATTTTTTGAGTAGTTGAGGATACAAAATATGTCTAACAGCTTCCGCTGGTCCATTTTTGCATAGATATGTTATGGAAATAGATTCAGTTAATAATTTTACTGACATACAATCCGCAATAATCAATGGACCACCAATAATATTTCCATTAGCGCCTGAGATAAGCAGTAGTGCATTGTGATTTGTATTTGGATAGACTGTAGCTATTGTCAGGAGATCCAACACTCCATCCTTGTCAGTATCATTCACTATTATTGGGAAGTCTATTGCAGCAATATCACTAGAAACATTTCCATTTTTATTGACATGCCAAAAATGGGTACCCGATAAAGCATTCAAAGCAGCTAACAAACCCTCAGACCCTGATACTATACAATCCTTTTGTTTATCTTTATTCACATCAACAACACGGCAATTAATTTCTGTAGGTATTCTCTTCTCTCTTGTAAACCACCCTACTTCCCCAGTATTACCAACAATAAGCAGTACACCATTTACATTATCACTGTTACTTGAACCCTCATGTTTCATGTGATTACCTCTATAAATAAATATTAAATTTTTGGTGTTAGGTATAGCACCATTCACCACTTGAATTGCACCAGAAAGCTCTAAATCATAGTATGGTAATTCCCAGCTGGTTGTCTTGTCATGCCACTCATTATTGGGGCAACTTCCTACATCTGAGCATGGTATACCCCATAGAAATATTACTACTGTAAAAACGCACATAAATATAGATGCGACAAAAGCACAACGACGAGGCAAAGACATTTTATTTGAAACATCAGATTGCAGAAAACTTACGTTGTCCATAGTGCTTTCTAGTGTGTTAACATTAGTATTTAAGTCATCCATGTCACTCATACTATAGTTCTTGGAAGATTGTAGTCCACTATTGTAATCCAAATTATTACAACTCTCTGTAGCTCGAATATGGACAGCATTTTCCAGTTTGTGATCGTCTTCAGATTCAGAATCTGAAAATGTTTGTTTCAGCGGTGCATAATTAGCGCCGTTTCCATTTGCTGTCATGGCTTTTAATGCACAACGTATCTATTACTAACGTAATTGTTGTAATCGCATTATTGGGTTCAAATCTCAACCTTTGATCTCAACTCAAATATACACTAATACACTATACATACATCTAAATAAATTCCTATTATCTGTGATTCTGTGATAAAATCAATATCAAACTACAAGCATCATACAAAGCAAAACAATCAAAAACACTTGTCAATAGTGACGAGCGTAATCGATTATAAAGATCGAAATCGGTTATCATCTCCATGATCGATTATGTAGTTGGTTATAAAAGTTAACACACATTTTGCAGCAGGAAAATTCTGGAACTTTCCAATAAGAAGTAACAATGACTACATTTGTCACTATCCCACTAGTGTTATAATAATGTCACTAGAACCATAATATCACTAGAATCATAATGTCGGTCGGTCACTAGAATCATCAGACACTGACGGTAGTTACTGAAAGTAATATAAGATTTCTATTTATTGTTTATCTGTGTTGTCAAAAGTATGAAAGTATGGCACATTGATTGCAGTACTTTTTTTATTCTTTTTTTTTAAACGTTATCCCCACACTAGGATTTTCTCCTGTGTCGTGCAGGCAGTTTGCAAACATAAATTGCACGAGGAAAAACATCCAGACCCGGAACAATTATTTGTATGCCGTACAAATACTCGTTCCGTGTGGGATTCGAACCCGCGGCCTCTAGCACAACAACTCATTGCTAAACCACTGCGCCACGTAGCTGTCTAGTAGTCGTACTAGTGCAGATATTATATTTTTTGAATTTATTTGTTATAGTTATAATTAGTGAAGATTTTTTACCATCAACAGGATGTACAATAACCGTTTCGTAAAATCGATTATTATAAAACTTTTATCAAAATAATCGAATCGGCACATCACTTCCCCTTAACTGTCATTTCAAAATCAAATGAATGCACATAGTCAAAGAGACACTACCATAGAATTATTGATCACTATGTTTTCTTAATTAAGATTTTTGGCTTGGATGCTTGTCTTTTAAGCCATTGTCACTACCACGCGTGAGTGTTTCTAGTTAGTTTGTGGTTACTACGTTTTACACAGTATAGGGTCGCTATCTATACCTGCAACCACCGCGGAAGACTACAAAAAATACCTACGTTGTGGTTGTGATATACATTTTTCGTACTTTCCATAACTTCAGTCCAACTTGTCAGTGGAATCAATGATTACAACATGCCATAAACTACAAAAAAATTATTCAATCCGTAAATAATTACGTATAGTGCCACCAACTTATCTGTTCAGTTGACAGAGTCGCTAGTGGAGTGCTTACTATTGCCATTTAAGAAATTTACCGAGGAAATAGGTGACTACATATTCATTACACATAATATAAAATAAAACAAATTTCGTGTTAATATATATATATATAAATTATATTTATATTTATATATATATATATATATATATATATATATATATATATATATATATATATAATTTATATTTTATAAAAATAATTGTGGTCGTGGTCTCGGAGTTCAAGCGGTCGAACTCCAGGAATTCCTGTTTTGAAAGATGTACCCGCGTTAGATACTGGTTCCAATAATTCATCTTCTGAGTCACTGGAATCGGTTTCGCTATCGCTCTGACACTATAATAAAGGGTTCATCTAAATACGCGTCTTTTAGTCTGTATTCATTTTCAATTTTTTTCACATGATTGCATATGTTTTTCCACTGCACCGGTGTAATTTTATTAAATGCATCTTCAATTAATTGGGGCATTAGAACATTAGATTTTCCAACATTTTTGTCTGCTATGTTCCTTTTCATAGAGCTCCATATCATTTCAATTGCATTCAAGTCGCAATGATAAGGCGGCAATCTAAGAATAGCATGGCCATGACTTTTCATCAGGTTATCAATTTCGTATTCCGGAGCAGGTTTATTTCTCTTTATTAATTCATAAAGCTGAGGTTTTGTCATTTGTTCATTGAAACTTACATTGTTTTTTTCAAGCCACTTCTGCATATCAGCCTTACTGTGGTTTGAATTAGGACACCTATTTACGCAAATACTATGGTATGGCGCATTATCCATTACAATGAGCGAAGGTTCATGCAGATTAGGTAGTAATTTTTCATATACCCATTTTTTGAAATTAATGCTATTCATTTCATCATGGTAGTCCCCATATTTTGTATTTGATTTAAATACGAGAAGGGCATTCTCCACAAAACCTTTTTCTCCACCTGCATGGATTATGATCCACCTATTACCTTTCGAAACAGGTTCCAAATCACCATCTTCTTCAGGACCTTGCCAACATTTCCCAGTTGAGTGAGACGAGTGAATGTAAGTTTCGTCTAAATAAATAACAGGTCTTTTTTCACCACGCTCATTTTCTTTAATTTTTTGTAGGTAGGTTGCTCTCCATGCAACTACGTCGTTACGTTCGCACAACACTTTTCTATTTGATTTCGTTTTCTTATAACGAAATCCTATTTTGTGAAGCAATTTTCGAAGAGTTTCACGTTCTCCTTTGAAATCAATATCTTCCTTTAAAATACTCAGTAATTTGGGTATGGTAGGGATTTCTTTTTTCACTGAATAAAATTCGTGAATTTTTCTTCTTATAACACCAATGTCAAAATTATCAACTTCTTGCTTCCCGGTTTTTCTTTGCCATTTTTTGCCAGGGGTAGAAATTTTAGAATTGGATTCTTCAGCGTGTTTCTCTTCATTTACGAGTTTGTGTACAAATCGCTCAGAAACACCTGTAACGAAACGACAAATAATTATTGTATAGGTAAAATTAAATAAATGTAAGCCCGTGTATATGCCGTCACTAAAGCTACTTCACAGACCACAAACTACAAAGCTAGGTACTTTAGACGAATTACAGTAAATTGAGATAATTTTTTTACTATGTTTTACAAGTACATTATTTGGTGATTTTAATTTTCCATATCTGGCAATACTAACCAGTCGCGGCAGCAACGCGCTCATACAGCTTTTCAAATGGTATAGTTGGGGCTTGTACACGTTTCTCTTCTTTCATAAAAGATAAAACTTTTAGGATAATCTGTCGCGCATCACTTTTAAGAGCTTTAGGCATTTTAATTGCACTTTTTAAAAACATTCACCTGATAGCTCAGAATAAATAATAACTGACAGCGAAATGTCATTTACAAAATGGCGGCATTAGTTCCAATTTTGTCCACCTGAACAGATAAGTTGGTGGCACTGTACATCTACTCATTGCCGTTTTGCGTCGTACGTCGTACATGACCTTGGCGGGACATATATTATGTACGTCAACTAGTGATGTACATTTTACTTACAGGGACTATCAAAAAAATATTGTTAAGGAAGCGGTAAAAAGATTTTAAAATATCCTTCATTTAAAAACTTCAAAAATTAACTGAATTTTTACCATGATAGTTCTAAAATAATTAAAAAATATTCATATACTAGTATGGACAGTTTCCCCGGAATTTCTATTTTAACAAATTGTTAATATACTTACTATACTTCGTTAAGTATATACCTATTTATATTTCGTATATTTTATAAAATGTTTTGATGGGGAAATAAAAAAAAACGGGGACACGGAATACATAATAGTTGCTTTATTTTTCATATAAGCATTACTTTTGATAATTACAAACATTTAATAATTAAATACATTATAGAAGTTTATTTTAACATTTGACTTAAATATGAATGTAAACTTAATAATTCAATTAAGGAAACTTGTAGGAGTCAGTTAAATAAGATTGTTCTGTTTAAAGGCCAATAGGTTTATGAGGCTTCATCATGCTTCATGTTTATATTCTTTCATCTGTCCTGAAAAGAATAAAGTAATAATAAAGTTATTATCATTATAGCTGCATGAATTTAAAAAAACATAATGATCTTAACAGAGTAAAGTGCACCAAGTGTCTGAGGATACAGATGCACTCTCTATTCTCTCAATCTCGGTATGTTAAGAAAATGATCACTCATTCATGGACTGACCGCGCCAAGTGCAACTCAATCTCGCAGATCTATTGATCCGGGCGGCTATTACTTAACCACGAGTTCCACTTATCTGCGAGTAACGCTGTAGGCGATGAACCACGCTCTTAAAGCCCTCGGCACAATGTCGTCAGCCATCAAGCATGAATCGGCCGTCGAGCGTTGTGAGTATCAAATACTATAGAATTTATACTATCCTGGCACATTGAACCACGAATCTCATGCGCGGGCGCTTCAAGAGCACTACTAAATATATTATATCTAACTACGCTAAAAGTTTTATCATTGAATATAATCCAAAGCTCCGCGCAACCCCTTGGAGAAAATAGCGTGATGCTATGAATAATATATACTTACTTACTTACTTACTTATCTTCACGCACAATCCCTGACGGGGTAGCCAGAGAGAACAGATCGCCAAGTGTCACGATCCTTACATACCTCTTTCGCTTCTTTCAGATTCATTATCTTCTTCATACATGCACGTCTAGGTATCCGAGTACTCTTGACCCTACCCTCTTCGAGCAATTTGCTCACATGGTCTTCGAAAGTTAGTCTCGGTCTACCTCGACACCTTTTAATATTAACTTTCGCGCTATATATTTTCTTCACCATTCGGTCTTCACTCATTCGCTCAACGTGCCCAAACAACCGAAGCACGCCCTTATCAATTTTCGTGATAAGGTCATCTTTCAAACCTGCCATATTGCGAATCTCTTCGTTTCGCTTTCGGTCGGCCATGGTAACGCCGCACATTTTACGAAGAGATCGCATCTCCACTGCATTCAACTTGCCTTTATGCTTCTTCTGGCATACCCAGGTATTCGCTGCCATATAACAAAGTCGGTACCAACACTGCGTTATGTATTGCAAGGCGTGCACTCTTCACCACGCCTTGCCTTTTGACTAACGCAGTCAGGGCACCATTGACTTTGTTCCCGGCAGCGACACGCCTGTCCACATCTAAATCACATCTTCCATCCCGGCTAAAAG